CCCCCCCCCCCCCCCCCCCCCCGAGTTTGAGCAGTTGAATTAGCTTTTTTGTCAGAATTCCTCCTTGATTCTTCAAGCCGAGTGCTCTGACCACTTTTTTTCCCTCTGTAATGCAGGAAAAACTCCCCAAAACACCACTTCCACAACAACAAAACCAGAAATCGATCAGATTGGCTTTGAAAAAGCGCTCGTTAAGTAGCGAGCTCCCTCCCTCTCAGTTGAGAGAGCTGGCTATTTAAAAAGCTGTGGGTGGGCTTCTCCAACTTCTAAACTTTTAGAGGGGGATTCCCACATAAAGTCGGAGTGAACGGGGCACTTTGCGTGCAGTAACACATCATCTCAATGGGACTTTAGCCTACACGACAATGATTAGCTAGCCGTTTCATTCCCATCTGCCAGCTGGAAGAGTTAAGGGACCATGGCTCAAATTTGAGCTCTCTTACGCATAAAACAAAACAAAATTAAAACACAACATCTCTGCTGCTATCTGTACAACATTCAACAACACTTCTTTTTTTTTTTTTTCAAACCATAATGCCAAAAACAATACTTATCATCATTATAAGAGCTTTTTTTCCCATCTCGACAGCATAGAACAAATACCACACAAACAGAAATGAAAATCTAATAAAGGCCTCAATACCAGATAGTACACGTCACCTTCAAGTGGTGCTGGAGATTGACAGTTTACGGACATAAGACGGGGCATGGAGGAAGAGCAAGCGGGGGACAAAGAGAAAGGGAAGGAAATGGTGAGAACATTGGGATTATCCTGTTTTCTGGAACTTTCTTATCTTTTAGTGTCACATGGGACATGTTTTGGCAACTCATAATATTACAAAAAACACTCAGTCTTGACTTGGGCTTTGGTTTGCCAAAGGTTAGTAAAAAAGACCAAAAGTGGAGTGATTTCTACTTGCCTATCCATTAGGTAGTCTTTCTTTTAAGGAACCTAGCCATGCTAGCACACACTGAGGCCTAGTGGCCTCGTTTAAGGCCCACACGGGCCAGAAGAGGGATCAGTCAGGAGGTAAACACGAGAAAAGGATTAAGAAAATGAGCTGATGTGATGAAGAGAAAGAGAACGGAGGGGAATGGAAGGAGAGAAAATGAGCCGGAAGAGAGTGTGTCAATATAGGCTAAGTGCTTTTGGTGAGTTTTACAAAATACACCAGGAAGTGCTTGAAACAGAAGGCACGGTGGCATTGATAGTAGTTGTTAAGGAGACACCACTGAGGGAATTTCACTACAAAACTTATAAGGTGCTCTAAGGGGAAAAAAAAGGACTTTAAACACATTAATGCACATTAACATGTGGTTGCAGTAACAGAAAACCCCATCAAATGTCGTCTACGATAGTGTAAGTAAGGGAATATTAATGCCACGCATTCATTCTTTTTCATAAATATACCTTTAAATCACACAAATTCATGCTAAACAAAAAAAGTGGGGGCTTTTCTTTTTTTTCTTCTCAATTCTTAACGGTGGTTTATGTTTCCACAAAGGTTTTCTTGAGAACCAGTTCAGCTGTTAAATACTCGGTACACTGATGACCTATTTGCTAATTGATGGGGTAAATCTAGTGAAACCACACACTTACACGTTTCAAATGACAACAGAAAGTGACAACTGCCATTGGACAAAAAAAAAAAAAAAAAAAAGAATGGTCAATGAAAAAAAAAAAAAAAAAAAAAAGGTTTGGTCTATCGATAGTCAACAAAAAGACAACTACTTTGGGAACTCATACTTTGCACAGTGCTTTGTATAGACATTCCAACTAGTCTTAGCTCACAAAACATTATAATCAATATTACCTATATTGATAACCTTTTTCTGTAAGCATCTTAAAATGAAAGTAAACCAGTCAGCCTTTTTTTTTTCTTGTTTTTACAAAAGCTACACATATTCTACTGGGATGTCTATGCACGTGTTAGTGTTTTAATAATTACTCCTACCATTGTCTTTTCTTATGAAAAAAAGAAGAAGAGAGGGAATCTACTCATCTAAAAGACACCATAACCCAAGAATAAAACTAAATCGGAGAGGATTTGTCAGATTTAGTTTTACCAGGCAGCAGTACTTTTTTCATTTTCATTCTCTTACCCTCAAACTTCAATGAAAAATCTCTTTTTACCGACACGTTTGCTAAAGTCTTAAGTCTCTTTAAAACAGCGTGCCGGCTGATTGTGTTCAGGAGCTCTAGCGCTGCCCCCTACAGCCCTCTATCAGAATCGGATTGCAGTTTGTTCCCCGTAGGGAACCCCAACCCGCTACGACTGTAAACACTGAATTCTGAGCTGTGACCCACCCCCACCCCATCCCCGTTTTAATCACTTTGCTTTTACACTTTTCATCACAACATTTTTTGCGTTGTTTTTTTTTTGTATTCTTTTCAAGCAGAGCCACAAACAGCTAGAGTCTGTGTAGAGAACGTTAGCGCTATGATGTAGCATTTCTTTTACAACTTAACTATTGACAACACCCTAGAACCACTTTTAAGAAATATATTGTACTTAACTTGCTTTAAACTGTATATTCAGATAAAATGAATGGCCTATCAGAGTCTTAGCAGTGCCAGAGACCCTTTCGACAACATACATGAACAGGCACTAACTGAAAACATAAAAAATATTACAAACATTTCTTTCAGCTTTTCTTCAGGACAGTCTTGGAAACTCTCAAACAAGGCAGTGATACATAGTTGAGGGCAATGTCGTCTCATGCCTTAAGTTCATACCACTTAGCAGGAAACTTTCCTCATGGGAGTGTGTCTTAATCGGAGGTGAGACTTGAAGCTGGCAGAGTCTAACTGCTCAGTGGTCATTCAGGATAGCTTCACTTCACAGTTGGCTTCTACTGGGTCAGCAGAGCCGTCAGGAATATACAGTCCATTCGTTAGAGAGGATTCAAATGCATGACTCTGGAATGATATAGTATTTTGCCCCAGATCCTAAACGGATGTTTCTTTCACTTAACAAATTGGATATCTTCTTAAAAAGCATCCAACGCGAGTTTGGCTTAAAGAAAAAAAAAAACATAGAAAAAGTGGCCTACAAAATACTGAAAAGATGTAGCCATGCTCTTTTGTTTAGTTTTTTTTTTTTTACAGGACTTTTACTGTATATGTTCTGGATACCACAGTCACAACTCTAGTAGACAAGTAACGCCAGAGGAAACATTACACCTGTGATTTTTTTTTCTTCCCCCCCCAATGTTTCCTATAACATATTTTTTGTGACTTCTCGTGTTTGTCCACAAACACGGTTAAGAGGGATTAACAGTCAGCTCTTTTTTTTCATTGCAGCTTCTCCTGTTTTCAGTTTCGAGTTGCATGTAGTTTAAAACATTGATCCCGTCACTCCTTTATAGATTGCGTCTTTAGATAGCATTTTCATCTGTTAAGACTCTCTCTTCCTCTCCCACAATGTTTGAGTGCAGGGCTGGGGAAAGATCAAGTGACATCCTCAGATCCTGGTCTTGAAAATCTTCCACACTGCTGTTTTCCATATTCTCTTCAAATTCCTCCTCTTGCTCCTCTTTATCCCCCTCTATCTTCCCTTTGAGAGCTGGACCATCTCTTACATTCTTGGACATGGAGGCCATGGAGTCTGGTTGTTGAAGGGTGTCTTCCAGGAGTTGTGCTGGATACTCAGCGAGACCATTAAAGGTGTGGGCCTGAGTTGAGGGCCACCCCCTTGTGGGTATATGGGGCTCTGCCTCATTAGTATGCCGCCACATAGTCAAAGGGTCTACATTGGAGTGATCTGGCTGATGCTTTGCGGCCTTTGGGGCTCTATCATCATCCAAAAGAGTTGAAGTGCCTCTCTTGCGCCGGGACTTACTGGTGTGGTTGACCTGGAGATGCATGGCCATCAACTCTGTTGAAGATGTATGGAAAGGGCAGAACAAACATTGGCTTAGTTTAACCCCTGTAGAGACATCGCTTCCATCATCCCCACCAAGTGCAGATTCTCCATCCCCTGTACTAATGCTTTCATTATCCTCCACCCCGGTAAGGCCAGGTGAGGTGCGGCGAGATAGATCCAAGGGTTCAAACCCACCATCCTGAGTTGATGGGACGAGTCCGTCTTTGTCATTCGGTGGCTGGACCATTCGGCTTGTCGTGAGCGGCTTGCGCCTTGATACTTTTGGCACTTTTGGTGGGGGAGACTCCCTGATCCAACCATCTTCCATTCCACCTTGGTAAAGGGCACCCATCACTCCTGACAGATATCTATACTGGGACTCCAGGTCAACATCTCGTAAAGCTGCCAGCGCCTTCCGATGCTCCCTCTGGTCTGGTAGCCCTAGGAGCCAAGACTGCTGGCTTATCCGTGTGGTGGGGGCATCCGTCGGACCTCGGCTGGCAGCAGAGTTGATTTGAGATCGGCGCTGCTTTCCCGCTCCAGATGTTCCAGATGTGAAGCTGTCGATAGTAGACGTAAGACTAGAAGACGAGGAATTGGAGGAGGTTGACAGAGCATTTCGTTGCTCCCGGTGGTGACGCTGGAGATGGTACTTCAGCGAGCCAGACTGAGTACCCGCATAATCACAGTGGGGGCATTTGTAAGGCCTCTCACCTAAAGAAAAAAAGTATTGAAAATTTAACCCTTTAACGCCATATGTAATATTCATATTTGATAGACAGATTTCAAAGTAATATTGTGCGGTTATATTGTCAAAACCTTAATTTAAAAACTGTAGTATAGAACATTTGAGTTAGTAAAAAAATTGCAAAAGATATATATAATTAAATGCTCATTTCAGAGACATGCCCACATTCAAAAGCTATGAGAGCATGTGGCTTCATTTTATTAGATAACATGCAAATCTCATCATTTCAGCAGTGCTGAATGGTAGCTGCAGTTGTATGTTTTAAAGGAAGATGGCAGCATTCCATCACTGGTGAAATCATACAGCTTTGGAGAAAGCAAAATATCATGTTGCATTATGAACCGCAGGGAACATAGGAAAAGCACGGATTAGCTCATTCACAATGACAAAAAACATACACGAAGAGTACAGCTGATTAAAGCTGATTTTGTCGCGGAATCAGCACATGGGCAACGTCGCTTTAATTCTGTCAAGTTTGAGAGAAATAAAGACTAAGATGGGTGTGTTGGGGAATATTAACAGAAGGAAATAAATTATAGCATACACTGTGATAGGGCTTGTCAATGATCGATTAGTAATGATGGTGAGAGCACTAGAAAGACTTGACTTGACATTTTGGACTTGGATTGTACCAGATACTAGTGTAAGTTGCTTGTGATTGGTACCACCACAAAAATGGAAGAGAGGTCTTTGATTTTGATTAAATGTATCATGCAGCAAATAATAATTCAAAAAATGACAATGACTCATGTTGATGGAGTCTTATGAATCTGGATCATTAATTAACAGTGCTAGTGAGTGCTGTGAGAGATCCCAATCTTTGTCAAAGTCACACTCCCTTGTCAGCAGCCAAATTTTTTTTTTTTACATCATTCAATTTCATGATGCTTCATCCCAGTTTCCAAGCACTTTTTGTAACAGAATTATGTATGGTATTTTCTGTGTACACAGGTATGAAGGTATTGGTATTGCATATAGGACTAATATTTTAAAAAATGTAAGAAATATCACAGAAGGATTGCTTACTGGTTTTAACAGAATTTTAAATATTATAAGATTGGAAGTTGTGGAGGAAAATGTGTGCAATTGGCTTTTTTTTCAAGGAAGTTTCAGATGAGCCTTGACCTATCAATCAATTTACCCATTCATTTCCCTCTATTCATCTAATCCAAGTCAGGATTGTAGGGGGGCTGTAGCATACTTTAGCTGTTATTGTGTGAAAGACGGAATACACCCTGTACAGGTCACCTTTTAATTACAACCCCACATAAACACAAACAACCGTACACACTCACAGTCACTTCTGGGTTATCGATTTAGAGTTATCAATTCATCTAACACTTTCGGATGGTGTTAGTAAGCCAGAGTGTCTTGAGAGAGTGCGTGGTGAGAAAATGCAAGCTCAACACAGATAAGCGCCCACCTAGGGTTCGAACAAGGAACTGTGTAGTTTTCAATGCAGGACGAGCATTTCATCAGTAGGTTAATCCGAAGAAAATGCTCACTCACACTTTTTTTTGTTGCACATTTTAGATATTATAATGCCATCACTGGAATTGTCTTTTTTGTGCTTTAATGCCTTTCAATGGAGATTAAGGCAAGTAACTGTGTGAAGTTCCATACGAGGTCTAAATTACTAGCTTTCTCAGGTGAAAACTACTGCTACTAAGCTTGGCACTGTAGCAGGGGTTGCCAACAGTTGAAAGCTATGATTAGCAATGGGCAGCTCTCTAGAGTGAACGTGATAGTCCTATAAAAACATGGATGCTGACTGAAACCTTTCCAGGGACTCCTGCAGGCAAAAAAAGCAAATGGGGCTTGTTAAACTCACAGCGGTCTCTCACCTGTGTGAACTCTCAGGTGCACTTTAAGATGGTGTGAGGAGCGGAAAGCTTTACCACAGTAGGGGCAGTCTTTTATCCCTCTGCCACGAACTCGCTCCCTGGTGGGAACTGAGGGCATGGAGGAGACTGCTGTGAAGCCGTTTTCTCCTGCAAATGGAAAAAATGGAAGGAAGCATGTAAACCTAACAGTTGGTGTCATAGACCGTATTGGGAAAACAATATACTTGAATAATAGCACCATTAGATGCAAGTTACACTAAAACAAAAAATCAGAAAAAATGTCAATATGATACCTTTGAAGTTTGAAATAACAGAGTGAAATCCTGTTGTTGCTCCAGCTTGTTGTGATCCACCACTGTTCAGTTTCGATTCCTGTCTCATGTCTCCCATTTGCTGAGTTGCGCCACCGTGAAGCTGAGATTCCAGTCTAACTTCACTGCTGCTTCTTCTTCCAAGCCCTGTGCCCCTTCTACTAGCACTGCCCTCCCCTTCACTACCTCCTCCTTTCACTGGCCTCTGGGCATGAACACGAGCATGTATTACCACCTGCTGCAGGCTGCGAAACAGCTTGCCACAGTCTGGACATTCCCAAGGCCCCCCAGTTCCTCCTGTTTCTTCTCTTGGATCTATACCTCCTAGGTAGGCTCTCACTTGTTCTGCTTCTGTGATCACCAAATTGCGACCTGGCCCTCGCTGGCTTTCCTGCTGACCTCGCTGATGGGGCCTCTGCTGCTGCTGAGCAACGGCCAGGCTGCGAGCCACCAGCTGCCACCAGGTTGCCTGGTCCCCTCCTTCCGACAGGGTTGCAGTAGTTTCGCTTGTGCTCCCTCTTCTAGTGGTTCCCGCTCCTCTTCCCAAGTCCCCTCTCCCTGAGCAACCAACACCACCTCCACTATGTCCCATCTCTGCCACCTGGGCCACTGCCTGAAGCCTCTCCATGCAGCTGGCCCCATCATTGGGCAAACCCAGATATCCCAGAATAGCTGACTTGCTCAGGCCCATTTCAATTCTGCCTCCAGCTTCCCTGTCAGATCTTCCTTGTCCACTTCTTCCGCCACCTCCTCGCTGAGCAAGAAGGAGGCTTGAGTAAAGAGCATTGAGAGACTGGTTATTAGCAGAGTTTTTGGACTGCTGCTCAGCACCTCCTAGTACCCCAGGGTTTCCCAATCCGGCCTTCAGGCCAAGTTTGTTCAGATGAACCTTCATATGGTTTTTCAGGAACCAAGGCTCTTTGAAGCCACGTCCACATACCTGGCACTTATGGTCCAAAGAGTCTTTGTGCTTTCGCATGTGTCCCTTCAGGAACCAAGACTGGGTAAATCTTTGTCCACAAGTATCACATCGAAAGGCTGGCATTGAAGTGGATGCAGATACAGCAGCAGCTGATGCCATCTGTGGGTTACTTGGGGCTGGGGCAGGGGTATGGGTTGGTGTGGGCATTGGAGTGTCAATGATGGTCCTGGAGTTAAAGGCTGGTGGCAGAGCAGATACCTCAGGGGACGGATGGCACTCTTGCAAGTGAGATGCCAAGCTCTCTTCTTGGCTGGCAGAGAAAGGACAAAGGGTGCATTTGTATGGGTTGTGGAGAATACGAACATGACGTGCCAATTCTGAAGCTGTGCGGAATTTTCCCTTGCAGGCATGGCAGCGAAATGATGTAGGCGCTATGGAAATAGATGAACCTTCCCCAACAGCAGAAGAATAAGGAGAGGTCACAGATACAGGGTCCTCTGTAAGCGGAGGGGTCAAGGGTGTGCTGTCGTCCAGTAAAAAGTTTGAGTTCTGATCTGTCTGTAGGTCATCACTGAGGCATTTAATGTCACCATTAACAGCGTCTTCTTCTGTGATGTGCTGAATGAGATTTCCTGGCAGTAAATGCTGGTTAGAATGACTTCTGTAATTTGGAATTAAGTCTTTTGTGTGGTTCTGCTGGATTTTGAGGTGCTGCTTTAGGGGTGATGAGGAGAGTCCAGTCTGGTACAAGGTTGAAGCACGGCGGTCTCGGTCCAGACTGTGTGCTCGTGCATGAAGAGATAAAATGCTTTGGAATCTGAATCTCTTGCCACACACATGACAGGGAAACCTGAGTGCAGGCCCAGATGAGGCCCCTCCAACACCAGGTAGGGACCTGGTAATGGTATCTTTCTGGAACAGCTGGAGGTCTAGCTCATTATTGCAATTTTCACTCTGCCCTGAAGAGAGGGCCAGCTCCAGGGCACCATATGGTGCCGATGGTGTGTCTGGAGGGGAGGAGTCCAAATGAGGGCTGCATCCAGCTTCTTGACCCCCTCCTGGAAATAAAGCCACTGCTGGGGTTGGTGATGGAAGAATTCTATCCAGTCCTTCTTCATCATCTTCTCCATCTACATCTGGGTAATTATTATTGTCTTCTTGAAGGGGATCAGGAGAGAGGGGGAAATATGGCGTTGTGTCAGGGCTCAGTGGGGAAGGATCAGGGCTGTGTATTGGAAGGACAATTGGGCTGTCAGGTACTGGAGAGGAGGCCTGGGGACTGTGGTCCAAAGATGGCAGCGTCGTGGGAGACTGAGGCTGCTCAGAAGAAAGAGACAACACACACTCTGGTGGGGAATCCATCCTCTATTAGAAAAAAACAGATAAAGAAAGATAAGGAGATAATGTGAGGTAGATAGGACTTGAGAGGACTTAAAAGTTTAAAACTACGGAAAAGTAAAAATCTCTACGTCAACTGTCACATGAACTTGGTCACTTCAGAAAAAAATAATGCACAAATGCGCTTCAGAAAACAAAAGAATTACCAGTAGTGTGTGTGGTGTTATGCCATTCTTCAGTGTCTTCGGAGAGGGGGGATATAGTTCTGAGGCAGCCTCTTCCGTTACGTTTCTGGGGACAAAAACAATTAAATCCACGCATGATATTAAAAGACGTGCTGGTCAGCTTGGAATATGTATCTCACACATACACATTATTCACATCATTAAAGCTATTATCCAACTACAGACTGTAGGAAAATTAGGAGTGTCAGTATAAATGTAACAGCAAATGCTTTTGAAATAATGAGCAATGAACTGGAGGTGGCAGATTTCTGCTAAACAGGATTAAAGGCAATTTGCACTGAGACATTGTGAATATGTTCCATCACAAATGCAAAACAATCATATGCATACTCAATGAAGTGATGTTAAAGGTTTTTTAATATATGTACATGAAAGAAAATCTTCATTTGATCTTCATTTGCTCCTCAGCTTACGTGGGTGCAAGCATGCGTTTGAACGTGTAACAGGTGGGCACCTGTTCCGTCTCCTACATGTGTTCAAAATACTCTCCAGCATACTGTTAGCACATATGGGATGATTATCCGGAGTGTGACTGCGCATCGGTGTGCATTTGAGTGTGTGTCTGCTTGTGTTTAGAAGTTAAGGGCACCACCACAGGACACAAACTGTCCCAAACAGGATGGGCGCGCAATGTTTTGACTTCCCCACACGCCCTTCCTGTCCACTCATACAGTAGCATTTTTTGCTTAAGTCGAGACCTAATATATCCGTGCAGACCTCTATGTCAGATCTCTCACTTGAGCTGAACAAAATGTGTCCAATCTGTTCCTAAAGAGTGGTTGCAGTCACCCATATAGCTTAGTCATAGCTACTTGTTTGGGTAATTTACAAATGTAAGCATATTTCAATGTTGTGTTGACTGTGCTGCAAACGTCACTCCAGACAACCCAGTCAGCTAAAATGTGAAGTGTGATATACAGCATATTGAACGCACCAGCATTTTGGCAAGCTCACCCACACACACCCAAATATTTGGAGTGCACAGCAGTTTGACTGGATTTATGCACATTCAGGCTGTTTTGGTCCGTCATTTGGTGGAGTCAAGAAGCAGCGCAGGCACCCACAACAAAAACAAAAGGTCATAAATCACGGTGGCACAACAATGGAACATCTGTGTTCGCAGGTGTGTTGCCCATATTTTCACTCACAAGGCAGTATGGCTACATATGTGCTAATATGATCTGTCGGATTGTGTACGTGGATGTGTGTGTGTGTCACTAAGCCTGGATGACAAAGAGATTCTCTTGTAGCCAGTTGACATTTTAGCTCAGCTATGACTCACAGGGATATCACACCATATCAATCACATAAACACACACACAGCTACACAGTCCTTTCTTAATCCACCATTATTGTTCTTTCTCTCCTCGTCTTCCATTCCTTTCTGTCTTTCTTTCTCTCCCTGATTCATACTTCTCCCATCCCCCTCTCATTCTCTCGCACCCTCTCGCCGTCTATTATTCACTAATTTTCTTTCATTCTCTCTCCCCCTCTCTTTTTTTTCTCTCCTGCAGTGTTGCCAGTTGGCAGAGTGCCAGGGAATGCTGATATCAGCTGGTAGATTGGGCCCTGCCAACATGGCGAAGAGCAAAAATGAGAAAGGAGGCAGACAGAGAGAAAGAAAGAGACAGACAGAGAGAAATATAGTGCAGTTACAAACTGGGCAGCTTCAGAAAAAAAATGTCATAATCCATGTGAATGAAAAGGATTTAATTTGATTGCCAACATGGTGTTGAGGGGAAAAGGGAAGGGGGAAAAAAACAGAAAGACAGGCATGCTGGAACAGAGGATAGCAGTGAAATTAGAGCAGTGGAGTGGCAGGACGGTGCATAACACGAGGAGAGAGCAACAGATTAAAATAAACATATATTTTGAAAGTCAAAAGAAATATGCATGCAGACAGAGAGAGAATAGGAGCGGGATAGAAAGGGAGAAAAGACGATAGGCTATCTAAATGTATCTGCAGCAGTGCTAAGTCTGATGGCATTATCATATGAATATCATATCCACAATGCATTGTTCCACCGTGACGTTGGCTGTCGCTAACCAGCGGCCCTGTCACGCCAATAAAGAATATTTGGATAAATGGAGAGAAGGAGATAAGGTGCAGCAGAGGATGCAGAAAAGACAAGCAGGATGAAGAGGGGAGGTGGGGGCGAGTGAGGGACAGAAATCAGATTGGAATCAGGTGGAGCAGAAGCACATACAACAATAGGTGTAAATGAACCAAGGAATGCGGAGAACGGCCCCGTCCACTAAAGCTCCTCTGGACGTGGTCAAGAGACACATTTGTTCACGTTATCTGTGAATGCGGTTCACAGCCGGCAGACAGGTTTTCAGAAAACAGACAGTTTTTGAAGGCGTGCTGATCTATGACCTGATTTATTGTTCTACATGGTAAAAAAACAAAAAAACATTGGATTTTATAAGTGCTTCCTGAAAATGTACTTTTGATATCAGATGCAAATGCGATCAACAGTCAGGCATGAGGAGGAAACACGTTTAAATCTGAAACAAAGACAAACAAATATTGTTAAAGTGGATTAGCCTGCAATTCCATTGATTTTTTTTCCCCTCGTCTTTCTTCCCCTGAAACCTGCAGTATTAACGTAGGGGTGTGATGACACACGGTAACGACGGTCTTAGAGCTTATTGCCGCTGGTTTTAAGGATCCCCGTGATGCTGTTATCACGGGATTTGCGGTGTAACTTTTTTTGGGGGGTGCCGAGGTTACTAATTTTAGAGCAGAATCGCCTTAATTGGATTTTTTTTTTCATCACAGCACACCGGCAATGCTGTCAGCCCCCAAAGAAGATCTTTATTGTTTAAATGCTGATAAGTACCTCGGCCTCAAGGTGTGTGAAGAAGAGGGGAGGTTGCTGAGTCATACATCACATCCCTGCTAAATAGTTGCCAAAGGAGTAGGAGTGCAATATGTTCAGACAAGTTTATTTTTGGCAGGTTTTGATGTCACTCTCTAAATATCTACAGTACACCGAAGCCAGTTAGTACAGGTCTGAACATGCAGCCAAAAATGCGTTGTAATTGTTAATATCAGGGTGCGACTGCTTTTTAGTGAGTGTTTTTACGGTGTGTGTGGGCACCAGTGCAATATTGGCTTAGCTCAACTGTGATGAATGCCTTTCATATTTAAAGGATGTGTTTATGTGTGCGACTGCCACTCTTTTACATTCAAACAATGCTCTAGTCTAATATGTTTGAACTATTTCTATGTAAAAATCCGATATTGTCATCTGAGTGGTGTCAGGGTGAAAAGTGAAGGCCTAACTTTGGAGGTCCTTTCTGACGGGATCTTTCCTACTGCGTTAGTTTTAACTGGTAATACGCAGTATGTGAGGTAAGATGTCCTCCAGGGATACGAGGGTGCATAAAAAAAAAACTGACCACAAAAAAAGAAAAAAAAAGGACAAGTGATTGAGGGAGGAAGAAAGGGGAGTCCGTTCTATGCGAGCTACTGTGTGATTTGGCCCTGTGGTTTTTATGGTGTGGTCACGTGGCGAACTTCCCCACAGACGCTATTCATTTCCTTTACTTCACCTTTCCCTGAACCCCCCACGCTTCCCTCCAACTTCGCCTGGCTTGCGCCCTCCCTCTTCCCCCTTCTCCAGCTCCAACAGTGATAAGGATGAGAGTCTCCCACAGCGTCTACAACACTTACTTTTAAGATGTGGCCAGATATTGCTTCTGTAGAAAAGTGCTATCTTGGTGTGAGAAGGGAAACAAAGTGGCTCAATCCAGCCCCAAAAGCAAGTGTTTGTCACATAGCAGAGAATCTGGCTGACCTTTTGGAAAGATTTCTATGAGGAACATTAAAAAAAAAAGAAAATCTGTGTGAGAAAGATACTTGAGAACTCTCTGTCTGTTCTTAGCTCTCTTAGCTTTTTTTCTCAAGGCCAGATATGCAAATGCCTTGTAAAAGATGAGCTGCCATCTCTTGCCACTTTTTCTGCCTCTCGAGCCTTTTTTGTTTGTTTGTTTGCGTTATTCTTCTCCTGCGTTAGCACTTGATTTCTCCTTCTCGACCTCACTGCCTTCGCTTCAAGCTTCTGCTCTTTCTGAATGAATTCCCACTCCAGTGGCGGGCAGGAGCCGACGCTCACTTGCAGTTGCCGCGCACCAATATGGTAGTGTCGAGGCAGTGCCAGATCTGAGGAAAGCAAATCCGAACGTTGGAAACATCACAGCATCTCGGCAGTGAAACAAGAGCCTGGCTCCGAGTCATACAGGCCTCACTACGTGTGAACCGGCGAGCTGAAGTGCTCACTGACTCGACTGATTTGGGATTAAAAGGAGGAAGCCTTTGGAAAAGAATTTGTTGGATCACGCAAATAACTGGATGTGCTCTTCCTGAAAGGCTTATCGGGGCACGCTGGAAGATCACCTGCTGTGGGTGAGAGAAAAGTAAAGGAAGGGTAGAAGTGTGCGGCCAACAGCTGACACAAACGCCCACCTGACAACTCTTTTGTTTCTAAATGACAGATCAAAATCTGTCCCGAGGACTGGCAGTCACGTCGCAAAGATTGCGAGACGCAAATCCTTTATTCATAAGGGAGGAGCTCCCTTCTATCAGCAACACCCCCTCATTGTAGGTGTCCTTGAGCAACCAAAGCTCCAGGGATGCTGACCCTCAACCATGACCCCCTTGGGGAATTGGAGTTATCACTTATATCAAACACATGAAGGGGAGCTATATGATTGTAACTGGAAATTAGGAATGGGTGGATTACTTATTTCCGCTCTGGGAAAACTTGATGAGTATCTGTCGGGCTTCTTATAGACACATTAAAAGCCCACCATACATTAACTGAACATTTGAATGACATAAAGGTACACTGACACATTGATTTGGGACATGATCATGATCATTACATTCAAGTTTATACACAAATGTGGAAGAAAAAATAAGTTTATTTTAGTTTGAGATGGCTTTTCTTTTAGAACTGTTAAGTGAGATTTATGCCATGCACGCTTAGTTTCCCATGTCATGCGGTAACTTAAATGCTGCATGACTGCTTCTATGGTTATAGTTCTCTTTACAACTCCATCAGTGATCTTTATGAAAAGGCTTGACGGAGTCCTTGCTGCCCACTACACACTACTACATTAACAATTACCGCAGGTTTCTTCCGGAGTTTCAGATCTGATCTCTTCATAAATTGACACTAAAAAAAATATCGTAGCTCTATAATAAATGGAAGTAATTACACGGCAAAGGTGGTAGTTGACCACTAATTGTAAGGCTGGCAAATTAGTCCACGAGTTAAAGTGCCCTCAAGCAACAGGGTGACATGAACCCTGGGCAGCTCCTAATGGCATGCGAGTTCCTTGTATGGTAACTCATCCGCCTTAGGGGTGGATGAAACGTGTTGTAGAATGCTTTGTAGACTGCACTAATCTTTAAAGGTCTTTCATAAGTGGAGGCTATTTCTCAGAAGAGGCGCTAAGTTAACTTTACCCCTGACCACACACCTGACTCAACTGCTATGTGAAAATGTCTTTTTTTTTTTTGAGAATGAGGCCGCTGCCAGTTGAGCTTCTGTTTGAGTCTGCTGTTAAAAAACCACAGCAGGCCTTTCTACCGGTCCTGTGACCCGCTAAGTGAGCTCTGCTTCCTAAAACTATGACTCACATGAGTGCCGCTGAACTATCAGTCCACTCCTGCCTCAAGAATGTTTTGAAACTGGTCTGCAAACTCTAGAAGAAAAGGAAAACTGGCATACTATTTAAGTAAGTCCCTAATGCTCTAAATACACGCTAATCCTGAGAAGCCAGCAGAACTCTCAACAGTCTCAAAATGTCACAATGCAGTAGATTCTCCCTAACTGAGGGCAAGCAGGTGCCTCTCCCGCGGCGCACTAATGACCCAATTATATCAATCAGAAGCCTTGATTGGTGCTACACTTCTTTCCCTTTTACTCCGTCGCTTTCTCCTTCGCATACAATCTCGTTCCCAAGAGCCACCTGGATGGGGTGTATGTGCCCCCTCGAGTACAGTACAGTGTGCACAAAGACAGCAAGTAGGCGGCATTGATGGAGGAGGAGGAGGAGGAGGACACTACTTCAGCATAAGATGCAGATAGAGGTCTGAATGAGCAAAAACCATTAGACCCTTTTTAATACCAGACCAGTGTTTAATGTGCATTAGTACAGCTGGATCCTGGTGAGTACCTGCAAGGGTTTCACATGAAATCATCATCTCGTTTCCCAAAACATTCAACCTGTGGAGGAACATGTGGCTAGGTTTTTGGGTTTTTTTTTAAATTTCTTTTAAAGAATGTTAAAATGGTTGAATCTGGGGTTTTTTTCTTGTCTAAAAAGGACATCTATTGGACGATGATCGGGGGGCAGCGGGGGAAATATGTGCTTTTGTCAAAGTACGCTCCTTTTCTTTATCAAATGTATCAGCTTTAAGTTTTCCAGGTGCTTGTTTTTTTTAAAGTTCATTTCCACAAAGCGAAAACAAACCAAAAAAAATCAAGCAAAAATAAAAAATAATCAACGAGAGTATAAGCAGAGTTTAAAGATTCTGCAAAAAAAAACATTTCTGATTATAGGACAAGCCAGCAATGTCAACCTACTTCCACTATGCACAGGCTCTCAAGAGTGATACATTTTGGGTGGATGTAAAAATAGGACGTTTCAGGATCCCTAAACATGCTCCATTGGATATAGAAAAGGCGACGGGAGTGTCTTTGGTCAACCCAGATGACACGTCTGCGCCTTATCTCAAAGGAATTTCCTCCTCGCCCCTATGATGTGCGTCAATAACGTGCAACCATTTTCAGCACGCTCTTTCCCCTCTTCTCTCTCGCGGCCATCTCAATTAAAGGCACATTAATGAAATAAATAACCATCAACAAACAACGCACAAATAAACACCCCCACTAAAATGAGATTAACCCCGTCCCACGGATTGTCTCCCGCTTCCCAAAAAATGCGATTAGAAATCATCAACACTGGGGGATGCGTGTAGTTTGGAGAAGTCGGGGGTGGCGTGTGAGTGTGTGTGTGTGTGTGTCATGTCAGCCTATCTATCGCTCTCTCTCCTGCTCCATTTTGTTCTTAAATTTTCTATACAAAAGATTAAGGGAGGGGAAAAAGACGAGTGAGCGAGCGCAGAGAGGACGGGAGCGAGAGAGAGGGAAAAAGTGCTATCATGGATTTCATCTTGAATCCTCTTGCCAGTCTACCCCTGACGTCCGACCCCCCCCCCCCCCCCCCCCCCCCCCCC